CAGTTGATGTGTTAATTAAGACATTACTCCAAGTCTATTGAACACTTATAAATCGATGGAGACCTTCCATGGAAGGTCTACAAAAGCAAGAGAAATTTTTACAACCAGGAAACACTTAACGAATCTTGGTATAGCTAGTGTTAGATTTACATTTTAGTGTTTAGATTTTCTTAGGACTTCAGTACTTAATATAGGTAAGCTTAAAGGCTTCGCTAATATATCTTTGCATTTAGCACTTCTTATTGCAATGCTAATGATTGTGAAAAACAGCGTCTTAAAATGTCTTCGTGTACTAATTTGCAGGGAATTTGCAAGATGCCAAAGTAAAGCATCAAGCTAGCAAACTTGATATGCTGGCATCATCATCTGGTAGTTTGTCAGATCATGGTTGATGTGACAAAAAAACACTATTAACCCATCATGGTATTTTTTTTAAATGGGGAAAATCATCGAATTACTGTTCCCGCCTGGATGAGGCGGGAGGGAGTGTCAGATTCTTACTGACTAAAAACCACCCCGTTCCTTCTCCTGCGCTTCGAGCCGGAGCCCCGGTAACCCGTTAGGTTCTCCGCGACTCCGAATCGGCATCAGCACTGTAGAGCCGCGCATCCGTGGCGGGGTCATCTGTTTCTGATCGGACTGGAAGCCACCCATGCTCGCCGCCCGCAGGCCCGCGCTAACCCATGGTATGCCGAAACGTAAATATACACGGAACATAATGTGTTTTCTGTTGTGTCTCATATGCCGCAGTTAGGAGATTAAAGACATAGTAGTAGGTAGAATACCAATAGATAGTTTCCTAATTTAGCTTCTCTTTAGGTACTCTTGCAACCGTGATAAAATTGATTACGTTGCATCTCGGCTGGTATAAATACAGATTCTCGTTGAAATTGCGTTCTTTTATTACCCAACTACGGCAAAGCAAAAGAAGGGTTATAGTATTCATCGTTACGGGGTTTTTATGGGATAGCGAGGTTCTATTCTCTTTAAGAAACGTCTGAAAGTAACGGATTAAGTATATCTTCAATCTTTCTTCATTTTTAGGAAGCTATAAATTTTTTAAGTAGGTAATATTTTATTTTTTTGTACTATACATCGCATAAAACATCACAGATTTTATAGATACTTACAATGTTACAAAGCTGTTCACCCACGCCCTACAGATTATAAAAAAATCTTGTAAACAATTTATTAATAAACTAGGCATAAAAATAGACTACCATAAATCTAGAATTGACTTTATCTCGAGTCCCTACCCAAGGCAAGAACTCAGTCTAAAAAAAGCAAACCAATTTTTTCCTGATCTTCGCCAAAGACAAAAGACTCGATAAATCTGAGACTTGAGTTAATCATTTTAGTTGTTTTTAACTAGAGTCTGTAGCTGTAGGTACAATCACCTCGTTCACGATTGGCTGGTTTTAGTTTAACACCTTTTATAAGTAAAGTGCATTATTGGTATCTTTTATTATCTGGGCAGTGAACTGAACTATACGGGGGCTATCTAAGCGTAATGAGACCCTTTAGAAACACGATGCCTAGAGTATCTTGGTAAATTAGTCTTAGACAACTCAAGTTTAAGACGTTGTTGCGTATGTATACACCCTTTATTTTGCGGAAGGATGCATAGATAGAGGTGAGTTTAACTACCTACCTACTTAGCCCAAATTTTTGTCCAGAATCCTGTTAAATGTTATCTTATATAAAAATTTCAAACATCTAAAAATCCAACGTTATATACGAACCGAAAATCTAATTGAGGTCCCTTGAATGTTATCCAAGTCAGCTCACAAGTACCTACCTAACAATAAAACTCAGAACTCTCATCAAAAACATCGAGATTCATTTCAATTGTCCTACTGATATCTAAAGAACCGCTCTCTACTATACACTACTTACACTTGGACACATTAAACGCCCATCATTTCAATGCAGGTCCGAATTATCACTTTCCAAATTGAAAAAAGTTTTTCACTCATTCTTACTTTCATGGTGTATTTGTATGCTCACGAAAAAGCGGTGTAGCGTAACAGAACAAAATTGAAAAGCCCAGCTTTGTAATATTATAACGCGCAAAAAACTTAAACATTCAATAACTACATAACTTTCGCCAAAGTTTGTTTACGATACAATCTTTTTGATTGCCTCGTCTAGTGGTTTAAGACGAGGTCTTAGAATCATATTATGTTTGTATGGATTCAGGGAAGTTTATTAAGTTTTTTAATATCTTAGTTTAGCTCACTCTGCATGGCCTGCATGGCAATTTAAGAAAATAGGTTCAGACCTACCGACCTATAACCAAAATCGCAAGACGTGCTTATCTAATCCTTCGAAGAAAAAGACGCAATATTTTTGCGCTGTCAATGACGTCTGCCAACCATCTTTTTTCAAAAAGCCTCCCATACAATGGACTATGAAATATTTATGGCTACACTCCAAGTAAAAGCATAAAACGCAATGTATTCTGATTTTCTTTTTTCATACTGTACCTACTAATAACAGAGCATGTCAGAAAAAAGAATAAACTACATGACAGCAGCACAAGCCCTATTCTTTTATTTTTATGGTTACTGCAATCTGCAGTAGTAAAAGTTGGACTGAGATGTACAACCGATAAACAATTCTCATAATATAACGTTAGTTTAATAGTTCACTAATTGGAGATTGCCGCTTTAGCTGAAATAACGAGTGGACTAACTACGACCTTTATAAAATTTTACAACTTGGGAACGTCGTGGGCAAAGAACACAGATAAAACGACTGTTTATGTAAATAAATTAATTACCTGTGCACCTAGATCTGCCTACGCATCATGTATTTGGTTAAAACTGGTGGATAACGACTTAATCTTAGGATTTAATCAGTAAGCAATTTAATATTGATGAGATCGTGCAGTGTTCATTGGTTGGTGGTGATAACATTCTCACAAGTTAGATTGCTTAGATTAAGTAATCAGGGATGAATTTAACTTGCAAACTAGAAAATTAAAATCAATTAAAAAGGTAGGTATTATTTGCCGTAGTGGTCGTAGTCGTAGAACAAAAATATTATGAAATAAAAATCTTAACAATTTATGTACCTAAACGCAATTAATTTGGAAACCCGCTCCGTATGTAAATGGAACGCTTATTCGAATTTAGAATTCCTAGCTCAGAAACTGGAACTAATACTGACTTGGAATTTTAATAAAAATACCCTTCGCTTTAACAGTTAAAAAAGGAAAATTCTAGCAGTTTTTATAAAGGAATACGGATGTGGTCACTTAAAGGCACGGACAATTTATTATTAGGACCACAGGGCTAAATGCTGAACATGTTCTTCGACGTCCTAGGCGTAAAGTTAGTACCTAATAAGTGTACAAATCCTGTTTTACTTACCACTACTTAAGTTAATGTTGCTGAATCCCTTGCATCCACATCAACGTTTCGCACAACACAGATTTGTTTTATAAATAAAATTATTTATCTGTTTAAAAATTTCATTAGTGACCGGGATTTAACTTTTATTGTCGATCATATTACGCGCGCGCGTTTGAAAACTGTTCGCGGCAACGGAATGCGTTCCAACGGCTAGCGCTGCGCGCGCACCTCTATGAACTGACTGCTTCTTTCAAATCCGAACTCCCCCCATCTTAGCGGTAACGCTTGGGCACAGCTTATAAGCTCAGCTTGGCCACCTGTCAGGCAATCATGACGGTCCAGATACCGGGATTCAATAAAAAAAGTAATTAAAAAAACAGTTTTATTAAGTCTTACCTACATTTGACAATAATCATTTCAATAGCATAGACACCGCAAACTTTAACTTATTAGAACACTAAATCTTAACTACAGTTAATAACTGGTTTTTAATAAATATAACGACAACATAATAAGTATCTATTTATATGTTTTTACCCAAATATATACCGTAACATTAAATTGGATATAGCACTACTGTAATTTTATGAAATATTCAAGTAGATTATAATATATGAGTGCTTATTTAATATTTAAAACGTCTACAATTTATATTAGTGGTATGTTTATTTTTCAATTTAACGTTTACCTAAAAAGTAAAGTATTATGTAGATATGGTACAGAATAGATGAATGAAGAATGTAATAAATCATAAGAAAATAAGAGACAGTCAGTCGGTACAATGATAAGAGATAACAAGAAATAGATAATGTAGATAGGTTTAAAGTAACAGTTGACAACGATAACGCATAAACAGTCATAAAATATGTATAGAGAAAAGAAAAATGTAACACTATCGTAGAGTTCTATGAAGACAAAATATACCTAATCATGCAGTGATCTTGAATGAATGAATAAATGAACAGAAATGAGAGCCAATACATAGAAAATTTCAGTCATAAGTTGGCCTAAATTCGACAATATTTTTTTTTATAATTCAGTCAATAAAAGGTCACTACAGTATCACAAAAATAATATGAATAATAGTAATGTATAAGTATCCGTAGTATAGTTAATATCTAAGTGGTTTCGCTGTATTCGAAAAAAAAACCTTGAAAAAAAACAAGATATTCAATATTTTTTTAACTTAATAATCATTATTTTGATATGTACCTATTTTAATATTAAGATCTATTTAGAGATAGTAAAAAAAACAGTACTTATCTATTAGAAAAATATGATATAATATTTTGGCGGATCGTCGACATATTTTTTTTTAATTTTGAGATATTCTATCACGTAAAATAGATTATTAAGAAATATTCCATTAATAGTTTTTTAGGAAGTGAGATTTCATTAACATAAAATTTAAAAAAATTACGACCTAAACAAAAATTTGGTATTTACAAAAAAAATGTGACAAGTTAAATTAGAAAATATTTTTTTTAAAGGAACAATTCATAACATTTATCTGAGATTTTCAATTCCCTTTGGTATTCGATTATTTTATTATTTTATATAGTTTTTTTTTATGATTAGCATTCCGAAAAAAAGTTTTCTAGCCACGTTTAATAGTTAGTATACCTATTTGCAGATTGTTGCTTATCATACGGTCCACGTAGATTCCCCCTCATCCTGGCCTGTAGGTTGTCCATCTCGCTGTATCAGGGTTTCACTGACAAAAGGCAATAACTCAGCTTTCGTGTGCTATACGATTGTCATCTTTAATGTTTTTTAAATCATTTAATTTAGGGATAAAAATCCTATGTCACAAACTACATTTTACTGGCAGAATCGAAATAAAAGGTAAATAAATTCTAAACCGATAATCTTGCTGATAATTTGTGAATCTGTGCTTGGGAATCGGAGCCCAGACTTAATATTGTGACTATACTTTGAGATACTGAACACAGCCTAAAAATATACCTATTAGCTAAAACTTATAGAAAAAAAATTAGGTACAGCAATTGATCGCCCAAGCTTAACCCATTTGTGACCGTCAATTGTGAGTGAAGCGTAAATTTTGAAATTTTAAAATAATACCAACAAAACCACTTAGATTGAAGCAATTGTCTAACAAACAGTAAAATAATTACGTCTCCTCAATATGAGGGTTTTCGGAGAACAGCTGGTGGTCGTTGTAGGTCCTCAGGTATTTCTTGGTGGTCAGGTACAGCATCAGACCCCACTTCATCATCATGAATGACCAGACAAGACGGATCATGATACTTGTCTTGATTGGCAGCACATCTATAACAAAAATTTCAAAAATAAACTGATGAAAAGTTAGGATGAAATTTTATCATGTATAGTTTCCTCATCGGTTTATTTCGTATGGCGAACAGAAAATCTTAAACCAACCCATGGACAAAATAGGGACCTTAATTAAATATTAATTACTGGCGTGATGTGGGTTTCAAGTAAAGATTGATTGGTTCGATTCCCGGACCCCTGTAATAGCTATTCTTAGTGAGACCTCCTATTAAATATAATATTATGATACAGATTTTTTTATGTACGATTTCACACTCTTTAGGTGCTCCTAAAGAGTGACGTATAGAAGTATCTATACGTGATTTTTATTTTACCTTAGTGACGACCTAAATAATACAATAGGGCTGATATTTAAGTTAGGTCTCGAGGGGGCGCGACTAAGGGTCGGGGTAACTCGGAGTCAATCGCTCAGGCAGGCCATTGCGATACTTTTGTTAGCTAAAGGATTTTAAACGAAATAATGTGTGTAACATGTACCTTATCGCAAATCAAGCTAAATTCATTCATTCATAATTGGTCAAAATGTTGCAATGTTTAACCCGTCGAGCGTCCGCGTTCCTTATGATCCAACGGGTGCACACGCACACGTGACATTTGGAGCATTTTTTCTTATGATCCACCGGGTGCCCATAAGGACGCTCGAGTGGTTAAAAAATATTCTCATACAAAAAAAATGTACAAAATTTTGTTATTGTTTTATTTGACATTTTCATCGATCATCGATTTACTATAGAGACATGTCACAGTGAAATACGTAAAACAACAACCCCGATAACATTAGAAGAATCCCGAAGGATAAGCAGTAGGGATAGTAAGTAAAGTGACTAGGGAGATTGATGTTCAGCATATCATCATTGCACTGGACATCTAGTGACTGACGTAATGATGACGATGGAAGTAAATAATTTTAGAATTTCTATTTTTAGAACCAATATAAGTAGTACAAGATATGTAGGTACCTGTTTTTGCGACGCATTTAATCGCAAAATTAGTCATGAGTGCTAGTAAACTTAATCAGAGTTATGCGTCATTGTATCCATATCAACTAGTTACTTATGAAAAATAACATATTTGCAAAATAATGTAATGTTTTATCATTCTGTTTGTCTGATAGTTTTCGAGAAAAAAATTTTTTTTTTCAGTACATGTATGTGTACTGCAAAAAGCTTATTAAAAAATCACAGTAGCTGTCAATCAAGGACATGAGACAATATTATGTATTATTTCCTGTTATAATATTTTTATTTTTAAGCATATTGACCAAAAAACAAAAATTAAATAATAAACAGTTAATAATTAATTTGAAAAGATTACAAAATATAGACTGCCTCATTGGCAGAGTGGTCGCAAGTGCGACGGCGGGGCAAGGCGTCTCGGGTTCGATTGTCGGGTCGGGAAAAGTATACCGGTTTATTTTTATTATTATTATTCAGTGGTAGCAGGGAGTCTGGAATTGTGCCTGGTATATGGCAATAAGATCACCCCTTATTACATGGAACTCATAACATAAGTAGTGAAAAGAGGATGTTACATTGTACAGTAGCATTAAGTGCCGTAATGTGCACCTCTGCCTACCCATCGGGGATAAAGGGTGTGATGTTATGTAATGTAAAGATTATATTTCACAATTCATTAATATTAACATACTTACATACATTACATATTATTATTATCTTGATAAATAAAATATATTCAAAAACAAAACATAGAGAAATAGTTTAGTATTTATGTGTGAACAGTGATAAGAGAATGAGCTGGAAATGTTCACTTTATCTAGAAACACATTTCACAATAATTATTAAAATTTGTAGTTCGACTGATGAGTTTAGTAATTTTAATTATTTTAATTACCAATATGTGAATGTAAGTAGTTGATTTGTTTCAGTGAAACGGTGTTCTTATTTTAACAATGATATAGTAAATTCCTGTCAAATTAATAAAGTTAGACGCAAGCAAGCAAGCAATAATTTTAAAAGGATTGAATGTCGTCTATCAAAAGACAAGTCAAAAAACATTCTATTTATTCAAATTAATTAATATTAAAATAAAGTTTGGTGTCTTATTCTGTGTTTTCTGTTTACTACATTTACTTACCAGCTTTATAATAGATTTCCAAGAAAAGGTAGAACATAGTCAATGCTAATCCAGAGACAAAACCAACTATGCCAAAGTCACCGATGTATTGCAATGCTTTTCTGGAGAAATTCACATGTAGAGACTCCTTGAGGTAGTGGCAATGCAGCATCAGAGCCAATGATGCATTAGTACCTATGAAAACATAGAAGAAATTGATATTTTTATAAATTATGTTAGGATACTGGAAAGGAGGTTTTACTACTTTCTTTAATTAATGATTATTTTCAGTTTTATTATTTTTTGGACGATTCAATTTTTAGTTCTAAGCTAATCAAGTAATATAGTACAAGGAAATAACTATAAAATAAATTAGAGGAAAATTATAAACAAAATCTGGTAGTGATTTTTTTAAATTGTTTCCTTGAGTTATAATGATGTATTTACAACTTAGATCAGCAATCAAAGGAACGATCCGAGGTCATCTAGCTTTCTCTTTATTATGGTAGGACTTGCAGACAAGAAAGAGGATAATCAATATTTATTACCCACATAGAGACCATTTTCTTTGGAGATTAATTTTTTCCATGACATTGTAACCGTTATAGCGATAGTTTTTGTGGAAATACCGAGTTAAATTTCGCTTCACTTACCAGATAATAGTGCCCACATTCCGGCTTCAATGTTTGCATAAACAAGGCAAAAACATATAAATGCTGACAAGCCTAAAACGGCTCCTATAGCACTTATTGCTATATGAATCTTAACTCGCAGCATCGTAATCACAATATGATCAACTTCAAACAACGAATATTAACTTCTTGTGTCGAAATGAAAACAAAGAGATCGCGATTTTCGTTACATTTATTTACGAACACAGCTGTAAAAATCTGTAAAACTGCCTGTCAAATCAATCAGTGACTGTTATGAAAACACCTAATAGTGATGTACATACAATACATTTTTTAATCGATAACGATTTAACTCTGACGGCTACACTAGCAGTGGTGGCGACATCCATTTCACAGTCGAAACGTTTAATTTCCTATTTTGGATAATAAGTGTTATTTTTTAAGTATAATCAAATTAATCATACTAGAAATAACTATAAAAACTTAGCATATGTGCAAAATAACGTCATCGACTTACTGAAACAGTTGTCTGGAAAAATTAGTTACTGCCAATCATTATCCCGTTTAGTAATGCCCAGCACTAAATCGACTAAAATTTAATACTGTAGTAATTTCGATGTCAATTTGACAAATATTTTGACAGATTGAGATTGCCGACTGCGTTTCAAACCACGCTAATGATGTTTGTAGCCTTCTATTATGCTATCTTTGTCACTAGCACACTAAAATTATATATCTGTCTTACCTATTAAATGTCAATAAAATCTATTGTTGTTGTTGGAGCCATTATAAAACCGGAAGAAAATAATATTTGTTGAAAATGAATTGATTTCATTGATTTAAAATTACTTAGGGTAGGGTTTAGAGTAGTTTATTGTAAGCCCTACTGCTACATCCATGAGTACTTAGGTATATCATTTACTTTCACAAAATTACTAAAGCTAAGGCCTCAATATGAGTCGTGTAAGTCAAGCTCAGATGAAGAAATTGCTGGATCTTCTGAGTGAAAATGGTGTATTAGTTGATGGCAGGGTGATGTATACTAAAACTAATAAGCAAAACTTTTGGAAGCGCATCGCTGTACAGCTGAACGCGGTTGAGGGAGGAGTTTATAAGAACACCTGGAAATGGGCAAAAGTAAGACTTATTAATTTTTTTTTATTAAATTGGATATGTATAATATTTATTTAGTTTCTTCTGTCTAAATTCATCTAATTTTATTAGCTTGATTTAGTTACCTAGTTCCCATAATTGAATTTAACTTCCTAAGCCTTCCAAAAAATCAACAGTATTTAAAAAAAAAATAAACTAGTAGTCTAACCTCGCTGTTGATTCACATCCCAGTTGCACGGATCTTGAATCATATTTTTAATTTTTAATAAGTATGATGCGATTATCAAGGGAAATTCAGATTCACTTTACTATTTGTTAAGGTATTATTCCAAGTTAATAATGAAGTATTTACAACATTCCAGATGTGGGCAGACTGGAAGAACAAGACAAAGAAGAAGGCAAATATATTGCTGAACAGAAAAAACCACCACACAGACCAACCAACACCTTCTCTAACAAATTTAGAGCTGAGACTCCTCAAGATGATCAACTTCCCTCTTGAAGATAAGAATGATGCCATCACTTTGGAAATGGTAGGTGATAAAATAATAGGATTGTTTCTCTATTTGGATATTGGATAGATGATTCCAATCAGATAAAAACATCTGTGGGTGTAACTGTAAAAGAAAATAAAGGGTGCATAAGTTTCAATTCGAAACTCTGCACTGAGTTCAAGATGGTTCTTTTATTTATTTATTTTTAAATTCTTCACAAAAGAATCTTAATGCCTTAATACAAACATTGATATATCACAGCAAAAATTTGTTCACACAAAAGTAGTCTCTAAACATTGGAAATAAGGTCTATAGTGGAGTTAGTGGATAGCAGTCACTGGTGACCACTTGGGAATTGAGCAGTTAAGGCATAGTATGACAGTCAACCATAGATTTATCATCCCATTGCATTATTATGGTTAAATCCTAGACATGTCCCTTCTTATATGGGAAATATCAACATATTTCATGTACTTATAGGACAAAACTGGGACTTTACAGGTTGTAAGCAAAGAAGGATCAGAGCCAACAGAAGAATTTCAAGCAGAATTCTTAAAGCAGGACTATGGCGATGGAGACATGTACAAGGATAAATCTAACACAGAGGATGATGTAGATGACGAGAAGACATTGGACTGTTTTAGTGGAGTAGAAAGCAAATTCTGCGATGTTGGTGATATTTTAGAAGGTAATAAAATTTTTGAAGTAAATTAAATGAAAATTTGTATAAGTATGGCAGCTGGAACACTGAACTACCTTGAAGTGCCCAATATTTTTTTTGCAGATGACAAGTTAGAAGAAGAAGATCCAGGTGAAGATTCATCAGATTTTGAAGAGAAGCTTAAATATCAAGGTAATATTAGCATAACCACTTTATACCACATATACCTAACTATAATGGTATTACAAGGAGCCTATTGCCAAATTGCCAAATCCTTACTAATATTATAAATGGGAAAGTGAGTTTGTTTGTTTGTTTGTTTCACTATCACGCAGTAACTACTCAACCGATTGCTTTGAATTTTTGCAGACGTAAAGTTAAAAGTCCGGATTAAATAATACGGTACTTTTTAACCCGGAAAAAATTGATATTCCCGAGGAAAAACAAAAGTATTGGTATAGATGGCGCTGTGTCTATTGATATATGTCACATAGGCTACTTTTTATTCTTTTGTGACGCGAGCGAAGCCGCTGGTAAAAGCTAGTATAATATAATCTTTCAAATAATGGACTGTATAATCTTAACAAACTGTTACTCTTGGTTACAGAAAAGAAATTCAAAAAGAGGAAGATGTCATTAGAAGAATATAAAGTAAGAACAACATTAAAAATAGAAAAGGAGAGAGTTCATCAGAAGGGTGAAGAGTTAAGACTGAGAGCGCTGGAACTGAAGCTAAAAGGAGAAGAATTAAGACTGAAAGAAATTGAAATGAATAAAATCAACTATTTGACTAGTATCGAGGAAGAGAAGCTGAAATGTTTTCAAGAAATATGCCTATCTTTGAAAGAGTAAGTTACTTGTTAAATTTTTTTTTATGAATTATGTTATGAATACCTTGCGAGCATCGCATTTTAAATAACGCATCATTATAAAGAGGAATATGGTTTGTGAATCCTTACTATCCTTACTAGTCCTTACTAATATTATAAATCTGAAAGTGAGTTTGTTTGTTTGTTTGTTTGTTCCACCTTCACGCCGTAACTACTCAACCGATTGCTTTGAATTTTTGCAGACGTAAAGTTAGAAGTCCGGATTAAATAATAGGGTACTTTTTAACCCGGAAAAACAAAAGTATTGGTATAGATGGCGCTGTGTGTATTGATATATGTCACATAGGCTACTTTTAATCGTTTTGTAACGCGAGCGAAGCCGCGGGTAAAAGCTAGTAACTAATAATTAAAATATTGAACCTTATATTTACAATGATTCTTGTTTTTTTTTCCAGGCTTTTAGAAAGAACGAGAAGTGGCACATTTCGTTATCACAATGCGCTGTAAAACAGTGTAAATGTCAACATAGTACAAAAACACTTCAGTATTATAATTGAAAATTATATTTTCATGAAAGTGAAAACAAATATTATGTTTATCATATTACTCTTTTAACAGAAAACAATCTTTTTATTAAGTATAACAGAGTAGATATAAAACTTCTTTTAAACAATTTAACTAATAATAATATTAATCTAGTCTATTATACATACTTATAACTTAGATATTTGTATCTTTCTTGTCTTCAAGTAGAGAATCAATGTGCCATGCATGCATTAACTATGATGAAATTATCACAAAATTGTAAATACTTTTTTATATTATGACAAAAAAATTAGCACCCATATTGTATATTATTGAGTAAAATTTAGAATCCTTGTGAAATATTTAAGACAATAGAGAAATAAAATCCTACCAATTTTCTTATAAAAAACTGAAATAGATAACAAAACAAAATAGACTTCTTAACAATTATAACTTCACTATTCATTTTCAACCTTAATTTATTGCAATAAGGTCGAAAATTTAAAAATAATAAAAATTGACAGTTTGGAGTAGATTAAAGTGCTGGCAGCTATACATAGTACATTTCAAGATAATAATAGGACTTTAAATCTATCTTTTAAACTTTAAACAAAATAATGATATGGTCCTCTTGGTCCAGTTTCATATAAAATTATAATACTCTTAGCTCATCACATAACATTTTCCATAATTAACTTTTATACACTAAGTAACTATATAACTAGAGAGCAAGGTCACAACATTGGTGCACCACAATATATAAACAATAGCGCACAGCAATAAAGTATGTTATACGCAGGTGTGGTCCAAAAAAGGTTGATTGTAAAAATCTTTTATTAAACAAAATCTTTCTATTCCTTCTAGTTGTGATGCATTTTATGAACACACTTGATTGAGCAACTTTAAAGATTTTTGCAGGTCACAACACAGTATTGTAGCCTCGCCCTAACTTGCACAAACTCCCATTAACAAAATAATTTGACAACAATATTATAATAGAATTAGATGAATAAGTAATAAAGGTCTCATACTTTGAGCAGTTTTAAGTAATTTGGTCTTAATTTGCTTAATGTCACGGCATCCAGTTCTGATATCCTGTGAATACGGAGATGGCTCTTCATATTTCCTCTCTGGGCATATCCTCGTCCACAGATAGGACATTTGAACGGAGTCTCTCCTGTATGTAACCTCATATGTTCTTTTAAATAATCTTCATGGTAAAAACTAGTATTGCACACAGAACATTCAGCTGGCCTTTGCCCTGTAATCAAGTGAATTTTAAAATACAATTATTTATTTAAGATTGTTTTTAAATTAGTATTAGTTAAAGATTATTTTTAATGAAGTTCTAAAATAAGTTATGATTTATTATTATATGATTTATGAAAATTAAATTAAAATAAAAAATAGACACATTGTTTATTTTAATTCGTGCAGCAGCTGTGCTTATTCCTTCAAGGAATATGAAATATTAATTACGTACTTTTTCCAGCAGCAAGGCATATTAGTCAAAAAGAAGCAATAGCTTACCCGTATGAACAGATCTCTCATGAATAATAGTAGACTTTGCACATTTGTAGGTTTTATCGCAGAATTTGCATGAATACACCTTCACACGTTTTATTTTCTCATGCATATTTCTGGTGTGGCTTGTTAGATCTCCTCTAAATGCAAAACCTTGACCACATGTAGCACATATAAATTCTCTGTTCGTTTCATGCTTCCTCTTCATATGTTTATGTAAATAATAGTCCGAGGCACAAATTTTTGGACACTTTGGGCATTTTATAGGATTTTTAAAATGCACAGTTTTCTTATGGTTAGAAAGTTTGTCGTTTGTTTTAAACAAGTCTCCACAGAGGTCACATAGTTTGTCGGTGGTAGGTTTCGTAGCATTGGATAATTTAATTGTAATATGCCTTGGCTTTGGTTGTTTGGATTCCCTGGTGGCTTTTATTTTGAGTTTTGGGGACCCAGATTTTATACTGTAACAAAATAAAATTACATATTAAATTTTGCCTAGATTTTTTATAGTTAAGAAGAATCTTAAAGCTTTGAGTGAGCAAGTTAATTTACCGAACATTACGATAATTTATGATTAATTTTAAAGTATTACCACCATTTATCTCCATTCCATAAAAAGTTCCCTTCTAATATAGAAGAAGCTATTTTGTTTGTTTTGGTACCAGTTTGAGAATTTACTTTTCGATTTTGGTTCTGTCTTTAGGTTTCTTCTTTACAGATTTCTTTTTTATTGGTTCCTTTTTTATTTTATCTGGTAATTTTAGTGGTAATAAATCCTCATAATCATCGAAACCATCATCATAGTGGTCTTCAGACTCAGCCTTAATGTTTTTTATATTTATTTCTACTTCAGTCAAACGGTCTTGATTACAACTAATTAAATCCTCCTTTAAAACAGTAAGTAAACCATTTTCTAATATTTTACACGACTCCTTGAACTTATTAATAAAATCACATAAAGTATCTAATGTATTATTGCATATAGTACATATATGACGTGGTAATCCCTCGACGTCCTCTATCTGAAAATCATTAAGTTTTTTTCAGTAAAAACATCATTTTGAGGTTCATATTAGTAGCAGTTTTATACCCACTTTTTCATGTTGTATGCATAGAGATAGTTTTGAGAGAATATTTCCTCCATTTTCGGATTTTTCAAATATCGGTAGCATAGCTCCGTCTTGAAGACATATTCTGCACAACCTTGTTGAACTCAAGTCGACCATCGTAATGAGATTCAAATAAGAGTTCCGGAGTATAACAATGATCTATTAATTTTTTTGTACAACTCTGTGAATGTTCATTTTAAATGCACAATTTTTATACCTATTTGTTTTGTTTCATTATTAAATATGAGAACTGCTTATTTTTTCAAATAACAAAATACGACGACAAACTAGACCAAGACAACGACAATAATAACATTTAATAATGACAGGTGTCAAAATCAGTGCCAGCAAAAAGGGTTGTGATTATTTCATTTCGTGTGAACAGCACTTTATAATGTATCAAAACTTTTTTGTAAATTAATATCAATAAATAATAGTTATTAATAATGAGTATTATCGAATAATAAATTACAGAAAATATCTTTGAAAACACTTAAATAAGATTTCATTACTTGAAATTCGTTGAAAAATTGTCATTACCATTGAGCGAGATCACAAGACCATTCATAGACAATATTTTATCACTTGTCTTCTGTCATCAGGTGATCTAGGTTTGGGAGTAAAAATCCTGAAAAAGGGATAAAACGCCAAATATTTTCCTAAATCAATATGTCTGGAAAAGAAAGGCTAGCGATTTTCCCTTCTCGGGGGTAAGTATTGTGAAAAATAATTTAGTGTGCTTAATTTATTAATGTGTTGAACATTTGCGTTGTATTAGTGCTTGAATCACAATGTAATTTATCCTGGTTTTAGTGCTCAGATGTTGATAAAGGCTCGTCTGGCTGGAGCACAGAAAGGCCATGGTCTCTTGAAGAAGAAGGCTGACGCCCTCCAAGTGAGGTTCCGTATGATTCTGAGCAAAATTATCGAGGTGAGTGTCTGTTTTCTTGTTACATTTACAAGTGTTACAACTATGCCTCTATCTTATTCGTTTCCGATCTTCATTATTATAATTAAAAAGAATATACAGTATAATGAAATAGAGCAAAATTTTGTGCTCACATGATTTTTTATGATTCTGTAATAATTGTCTCTATGCTCTTATTATTGTAAGGTTCTAATAGGAAAAGGGTTTATGACGATAACAATACTTACAAAATTACTTAATTTATGTTCTATCTGGTTTACAGACAAAAACTCTTATGGGTGATGTGATGAAAGAGGCTGCATTCTCGCTTGCCGAGGCTAAGTTCACAACAGGAGACTTCAACCAGGTTGTGCTGCAAAATGTCACTAAGGCTCAAATCAAGATCCGCTCAAAGAAAGACAATGTTGCTGGTGGGTATTCCATCTTTTTTTATTTGGAAATCATCCAGTACAGGATCAATATGTATATGACCTCTTTTGACAGTTGACCTAAATAAAGACTTACTTGCCCAGGTTTAATCTGCTTATGAATTTCATGAAGAATTTAACAATGGTGCTCAGCTGATTGTGATTACATATTTGTTTTTATAATACTAATGATGGAGGATTATTTTATAATTGCAAGTTAATCAATTATTTATTGTTTTTTTTTAATGTTTATAGTATTATTATGAAGTATTGAAATTCTTATTAGAATCAGTTTAGTTATTTATTTTCATTTGTTAGATTTTTTATATGGATGTTTTCATGTTAGTTACCTTGCAACAGCAGCTGAAGTTAATAAATTGATTCATAACTTATTCATTCTGAAATAACCTTCACTTGTTTCACTTATAAGACTATATAAGTTGAGATATTTTTCAGTTTAATCATATTATTAGATTGAATCAATTTGTTCACAATTACACACATACATAACTTCACACCTGTCTCCCTTGGGGGTAGGCATAATTAATTTATACATTAACTAAAAAACTATCTAGTGTTTGACTCCTTAAGTAATTAGATCTAGAAACATAATACTCAACTCGGTGGGGGCACTGCCGTGCCCCCAGATCATGGTTAGAAGAAGTATTGTGAAGCTGATTGGTCTATCCATGTTTCCAGGTGTGACCCTCCCAATCTTCGAGTCGTACACTGATGGTACGGACACATATGAACTGGCTGGTCTGGCCCGAGGTGGTCAACAGCTCACCAAGCTGAAGAAGAACTTCCAGAGTGCTGTCAAATTGCTGGTCGAGTTGGCCTCACTACAGACTTCTTTCGTGACCCTCGATGAGGTCATTAAGATCACCAACAGACGTGTCAATGCTATTGAGCATGGTGAGTGAGACATTATTTTTTAATCAACTTTAAGGTATAGGAAGGATATTAAATACTGTATTCCACTAGAATTTTACAATCACTTGATTACAGTACCATTTTGTGCTTTATCCTGTTGTCTATCTACTTTACAAATTACTGACATATTCATATCATACATTCAAAAACTTGTGAGGACGTAAGTTTCGATGTTGGTAACTCTTTCACACATAGTTGATCAAATCTGGATGAAATCTGCCATACAGATAAATACCTGGAATAATTCAGGATAATTACTGCAGAAAAGTGCATGTACCAGGGTAGTAAGATATTATAGATCTTTTTTTTTATAATATATTGTAGTATTTATGCAGTAGGTATAAGTATTTGTTTAGTAGTATTTATTATATGGTATGTATATGTCTATACAGATTTATAAAATATTGTATTAATATATTTATTCTATAGGTATTTATGTGTATAGTATACATATTACATAACTTTTTTTTTATTTTTTCAATTGTGTTCTGGCTTCGCATTAACCACTTCATTTCTCTGCACTTCCCTATGGTTGACTGTAAGAGAATGCCTTAAGGCCTTAAGTCCGCCATTCACTGTTGTATTTTGTGAAGAAGAAAATAAATAAAAAAAGATATTATAATTTTATTGCAGACATTTAGCAGCATTATTGTATTAGTACGAGCAGGCATCTGATTGCTGAAGTTTGTAAAGGTCATGATTACATTTTGTCAATGTTTGTATAAATTAGCTGATAAAAAGAATTGGATCTGTAACTGCAATTATAGCTGATAAGTTATTATCTTTTAAAAAGTTTTTATTCCATAATTGATAAGGTTTGGATTGGATTCTAGTGTTACAGTTTTACCTGCAAAGCCGACTTCCATTATAAATTCCATCACTTTTTTAAAATAATAGTAAAGAAACATGAAAAGTTGTATAAATACCTATCGGTTCTTAATACTAAACTTGTGATCTAGTGTCTGTATAGTGCGATTTTTCAAAGGCATCCAATTATTGTTTCACCTTTCTTGCCAGAAGAATCTGTAGACATGACGTCTTGGTTGATTTGATTAAATTAACTCACATTTTGTCCCTACACCTACAATTCAATTACTAACACTAGTAGACTTGGTCAGAAACCAATCAACTGTTACATCATTATAATTTATTCCAATGATTGGTTGCTACTACGACTATTTTGAACAAGTAATTTGTTTATATGTTCTTTGTTCAGGATTTGGTCTACTCTGATGTTTTGTTTTGGTTCGACACTTTCTATTTTGTATATCGTATATTGTTCTTATTCACAATACTCTACAAATCGAAAGTTAATGCGAAACTTCGTTTTAGCAATTTTGTCTATTTTCTGCTCGGCATGACTTCGGCTCTCAACAGTGTTAAAAATAATCCCGTGATCTCCTAGTTTAGGGTTCAGGAAACAGTTCGTTACAAGTCTCCACTCTGCAATTATTGCTCAAATGCATTGTGCACCAAATAAGCCGCCCGTCATCTTGCACGCCAGCTCGCAATGTCGCGCGATATCGCTGTTGCGACCGAACATGTTGTTGCATAGTTTAGAACAATTTTTATTTAAACAAAAGTTTATTGTTAATGCAATATTACAGTAATCATTCCCCGACTGGAGCGTACTCTCGCTTACATCATCTCCGAGCTGGATGAGTTGGAACGTGAGGAGTTCTACCGGCTGAAGAAGATCCAGGACAAGAAGAAGATCATCAAGGAGAAGGCGGAAGCGGTAAGTTAATGATATAGGCTGATTACATTGTTTTCCGAAGATATGGGCCGAAGTGCGGTTATGAATTGTAATACCCATTTTCCAACATTTATAGGTCCTCCATGTGAACCTGCTAATGCTCTTTGTTATACATCGAGTTTTATTTTAGAATTCGTGTTACTAGCCTATTATTGGGAATTTGGATAACCGTTGCTCGATAGGCTGTAACTTTAAAAGCGTTGTATTTCTATAGAGATGGTAATGATGGTATTATTTATTTATCCCCAGCGTAAACAAGCGGCACTGCTTGCCGGCCAGGACTTGGGCGACGCAGCCAACTTGCTGGATGAAGGCGACGAGGACCTGCTGTTCTAGGCGCCGCGCCGATATTGTAGACACTCATTTATCTAGCCAGTTGTTAGTAGCGTGCAGTCAAGTCAACTCCCAGGATTGGTCACCAACCACCAACATCCGAACATAACAAACATTTGAGCCAATGCCCCATCAGGATTTTTAAGTATCCTTTTGGATTTTCTCCCTATCAAAGGTTTTCCAAACTTGACTGCATGAATTATAAAATGATATTACAGTGTTCATTACCTACCTATGTTGTAAATACAGTATTGTTGTATCACTGTTAAATATGTACTATGTGCTGTTACCAACTATCACCCCGCACTGCGGTTTAAAACAGCTGTTTACTATTAATAATTATAAAGATTGGCTGTTTGCTTAGGTGTTGTCGTATGTAAGCATTCCACCCACATTTTGATTTTGTTTTTATTTTTCAAAGCTTTTTTAAACGCTGTATGTAGCATAAAATCAGTATAAGTACACCTATTAAGTATTTATGGTTTTGAATTGTTGTTTGGTATCTTAACTAATATTTTAAGTAAGCAATCAATCATGTAAATACAAGTTTATGACGCGAAATATATTATTATTATTGATTTGACTTGTTTTATTGTCATCGATCTTATGCAAGTTGCTGACAACGAACGTATTAAATCGTTTAATAAATAGAGTCGTTATTGTATAGTATTTATATTTAAAAATATCATAACAGATAGGATTCCGATTAATTAAGAATAAATAAGTCATATATATGTTTAAATACATCGCAAGCACAATACCGGAGAGATTTTGATATTAATCTTTCTGTTTATTACATAGCGTGACAATAAAAGTTAATTTTTATTGGACATCAGGCATCATCACAAACAATTACCGGTTTTTAGGAGAGATTGTAGCTAAGTAATATCGATTTCCTCGTTTTTGTAGGAGGCCAAAGTCAACAGCGCACCTCATGATGGTCCCAATGGACTTGCCTGTTCTCTTTGGGTCGTCGACCGCTTTGTAGTGTTTCTTCAAGAAGCCGATCACTCTTCGGGAAGTGAGACCATACTTTGACGGGAGGCTGTGGAAGGCCCACAGGACTATAGCCGCGGGGTTGGACCTGCGAAGCCCTGACTTGATTTTGCTGTACGTCTGGTTGTGCGACTTCGAAGTGTATTCGGTGTCCGTCGAGCCGTAAGAGTCTGAAGATATAGTCGTAGATGACGCACCTCTTTTGTACTTCATTTTATACAAGCGATTAGCATAACAACACTCACAAAGAAATTTGTATATTTTTATGCTTTTTTTAGATAATTTTTATGGAATCCTTTGGAACAAATTCTGACGGATTGTTTGTCTGACTTATACATGACAATTAAATGACAATAATTTTATTTTTTTTTATTTTGCGTTTTTAGTGGTCTAGGTGTGGACATGCAGGCTTTATCTATATGCTTTATTGACCTCTGACCTAACAAGGATTTCGAAAAAAAGGCGGACACAGCCTCTTGATACAACGACTGTGGCACGTGGCACCTGGCTACTATAGACTTACCTACACGTAGAACATACACATATTGATACGAAGGAAAATCTGTCATTTGGTAACGTGGTACCCCGTTACACACGCACACTTAAAAAATCCACTAACATTTTGGTGCTTCAATCATTTCTAAGTGACATTATATCGACGCCCTTGTCGGCCGTTATATTCCTTCTATTAATTTGAGGTACGGTAGGTAATTTGAATGAAATAAAATTACAAAGTATTAGCTTTACATTATTTAGCTACCAGCTACCTACTTAGCTGGAACGTGATATGGTGTATGGTGAATGGTGAATTTGTACCCACATATTTGTCGTAACGCATGGGCAATACTTCTATATGTGTCCTTCCATACGCATACACTTTATCTACGTAACTTTATGATACATGCATAATAATGATATGAAACATAATTATATTATAATCAAGACAAAAATATCAGTGCTCGCTACATAATATTTCTCCTAAACATTTATATATTTCAGTAGAAAGATCGCCATTTGTCGAGTTCAACTCTCAGTTACGTGAATTTTAAAACATTATTGTGTTATGATTGAGGAAAATTATGATTAATGTCGTAATTGTAATCTGGGAAAATGTTCGCTAACATTTTGTGGGCGGAGTTTTCAATGTTACGGCGTAGCAGTGCTACGGCGTAGCGAATGCGTAGTAAATGGCGTAGCGGCGAGGGAGGGAGGTTGTAACTCGTAAGTTTATTTTTCCATGAGTACCCAAATGTTGAATGAATGATTAAGTAACTGCGTAAGGTATATCGAGGGTATGTATACTATTGAGTAAGGTTTGTTGCCAAAACAAAAAAGTATTTGAGAAATTAACAGTACCTACAGAAATTAACTGATAGGTAATCGATTATTTGATTCGATTTATGATATCGAATTAGTTTTTATACAAATAGTGAATAATGATAAATGAACTCGAACTTACAAATAGGCTATCCAACGAAAATAAATCAAACCAATTTTAACCCGTAACTTGTTTCATAATATAATAACCACAGAATCTCAGAACACAATAAGATAATCTTGAACACAAACACAGGCTTATAGAAACACGTGTGATATGAACATGGCTACACGAGTCGGTATCTAACATGCAAACGGCCTAAGTTAGATTACCGCAAGTAAACAGGCGATGCATGTGTTACGAATCAAATGATCCCTACTCTGTACTGTGACGTCATAAAAGGAATAATAGCCAGATGTTATCTGTGGAACATAATTGGAACATAATGTTATCTGTGAATTGTTGATTTTGTTGAATAGATTTGATCAGAACCCTCATTGTGTTGATTTGCTACTACTAATTTTATCGACTGAAAAGATAATCATTGGAAAGATGATTTTCTGTGTAATTAAAAAAGATATAAGCCTCAGATTGAATAAAAATATTAATTTGAATTACAAATATAAAATAATGTCTAAATTTTAGACGAAGATGTCATTATAACAAGGTCCCAAATATTTTAATAAGGAACAATAAATAAATTAATCTTAATCTTTCCCTGCAATAAAATTTACAAACAAGCTGACAAAGTCCAGCGAGTAATTAACGATTAGTTAAGCATCTAAATTATCTAATTCCCAACGGCGAGAGGTCCTTGCCTAGTTGCCCAACTTGTCAAGCGATCGATCGGGCGATTAGTTGGAAGACCGCAGTCGGGCTAGGAAAGGCACATATCCGGTAACCGGGGGTGAATTATTGCAACTTCATTTACTATGACGCTCTGGCGTATTTTGTGCGATGAATGTAGAACAGCCTTTTGTGTTCTACGGCGAGTTCGTGTATAGTGACGTCATAATTTTGTGTTTAATAAATATCTTAGTATTAGGTGAATGGATATATTATATGGTGGTAGATGTGGTTTGAAATGTTAATTTATAAATTGTTGTCACGCGGATTGCATAACTTTTTACCAATAGTATGAAGCATCTTATTTCCTGATTTGACAAAGCTTTTGTGCACAATTCAATAGAATGCCTAGGTACTGCTACCATAGAATCATAACCAGCAATTACTTCATTTAACTCGGTGATTGGAATAAAACATTTCACAGATTAACGAAGCAGGTTCGTATCCAAATAATATAGGCTAACTCTTAAAGTACGGTAGGTAGGTACAACATATTACGGTCCTTACAGTATTACAATAAGGTTGCAATATGCGGAGTTGGCTTTGTGTATCTTCCTTTGTTTTGTAACATCTTTGTCCACACGCATGAACAGAGTGCACTAATTGTAGTCAGCTGTAGTAGAGCTAACATATAGCTAACTAAAGGGCAGTTTCGTAGAAATGGACTTACATTGGTATAGGTACAAGTAAGAAGTTAAATGTTATTTATGGAGGCGAGATCGCCATTGATCATATAGGAAAGTACTGCGCTACCCATGCTTAATTTCAAGCATTAAAGTATGCTACAATTGAATACTTGCCACTTAGCATGTGTAGGAATGTTGCTCGAAAATTAGCATGCTCATTCGGGCGTGTTTGTGAATCGACAGGCGTTCGATTTTTGAACATTTTTGAGCATGCTCAATAGAGTGCTTTTTATTTTATTTTTATTTTATTGATTTGGCTCACCAACAATTGATTACACTTATACAATATAGGGTTACATTTACGAAAACTTAAATACTAGTGCATCAATCTATTATAGGTAAGCGGGCCATTATTTTTTTCCAGGGCCCAAATTGATTAACTGTGTCGTTAAAATAATATTATAACAAATTATTAGTTATTTATTTTTTTTGGTTTAATTTAGTTCTATCAGTATTTAAAGTAAACAGTACAGGCATTAGCAGCGATGTTTTTTTACGATTTATTGTTTTATTTGATATTAATACAAGGAAAGGAGTAGAAAAACAACAACTGCGTTACTTACTTAGAATAATCAGTTTTATTGTAGGAACTTTTACGTCAATTTTAAAAACCTACCAGACATAAAGTTAAACAAGTATTACAATAATCTTTTAATGTAAAATCACAATCATCTCAGTCGAATATATTATTTTCTAATTAAATTTACCACTGCGTTACGTTATTTTCATTTAAGCTACTGTGATTTCTCAAAATATGCCATAATAATTGCAATTTCAGCTTAATATTTATAGTATAGGTTGAAATATGGTAGATAAACAAAAAAAATTAAATTTATATTGTTTCAAAATTATATTAAAAGCTTTAGAGCTCTTAACATTCAGGAAAAGAGGGACAAAAAAGTAACGCAGTAGTTGGATAGGTAACGCAGTGGTAATCGTATCACAACACTAAGTGTTTTTTCGCTTTAACTATTAGAAATGCTCTAAAACAATTATAAAGTATGTAAAATAAAATCAAACTTCTCCTTATAAAAACAAAAACAAAACAAATTCCTCTCAAATTAACATATTTTAACATAAAATCTTTGTCTCGTCAGTCTTATTTCTCAAATATATTTAATGGAACATCAAATTCGTAATACACACGTTTACCTTTCTTAATTATTTTAGGATTAGGAACAATCTCAACAATATTATCATATGGTTCGTACGAAACATCCCTTTCAACAAGCTTGAACCTTTTACCGGAATCGTCAACTGCTTTTAGAAACATAACTTTAATCTCTCCTTCGTCATCGACATTGCTTTGGCAAACACCCTAATAGTACAATTTGTCTTTGTCTGAAGAAACTTTAACAATAACATAAACACCGGAAAATATTTTAGTCGGATGCACATTTTCTTTTTCAATCAAGTTTCTATCATGTGTATTAGATACTGAAGCCTCTTGTTGTATTTTAAGCTGTGAAAGAAGTTCATCATCTGAACTCGAAATTGGAGAATAAACCGATTCGTAATAAAATTTCTTAGGATTGTCTACAATATTAGATATGTCAGTTAATACTTCTAGTTCGTTCATATATTCTAAGCTGTCTCTTTCTGGAATTAAATCAAAGGGAATTTCTAAATTATTGCTTATTTTTGTTGGGCTAATGGGGCTGGTAGAAACAGGAAGTGGCTGATATGTTTGAGGTGAAAAGCAAGCGCAAAAGCCCCTTTGGCAGAAGCAACTAAGATCACGATACTGCAATAAGCCAGGAGTGTCTGAGAAAACTTGATGGACCTGCATTGTACCGCGGAGAGGAATTAAGCCGTGGGGAATAGCCTGCTCTACCTTTTGAATGTCGTCGTTAGTGATGTAATACAACTGAATTTTGCTAGAGTCTTTCAAAGTATGAAAGAAAGTCTCCGCGTCAGGAATGTCAAAGCCAGTAGCTACTTTTTGGTCAGCTGTGCGTTTTAAATAGCCACCGACACCATCAGCCGCACCCTTACCATGACCAGCTTCGAAAAAGTTCCAGGTTATGCGATCAAAGCCATAATCGACAAATGTTTTCGAACAGATAAAATAAAAATTTACCTTCTGCCTGTACTGCGTAGCTGGACCATCGGAAAAAACATGAATTGTTTTTATGTGTGGATGATTAACCTTTAATGTGCTGATAACTGGATGGAGGTGTGCCCAAATGGATGCAGGATTATGAGAGTTATTCGGTGATACACTGCAAAAAGAAGTAACTTGTGCCTTTTCTGCTTCCTTTCGTTTTATATACAAGACACCTGTATGCAAAGTAATTTGCTGGCGCGATCCACCAAAATGGTGATGCTGGATTTCTTCAAAATATTTTCCATTATAATTTTCACTAAAATCTACATGCAGGAGAGCTTCGTCATTTTTAAGATCATCTATTGCGAGCCGGTAACTTCTATATTGCATTTTAATATTATAAATATGTTTCTTCAATACTTGTATAGCCAATTTAAATTTTTCTATCAATTCTGCAACAGAACTTGTGATAATTTCTTTTATGCTTTTTGTGATTTTGACTTTCTTGCCAGATTTGTCAATAACTTCAGACCGTCGAACCCATTGTTGATATTTTACTATTCGGGACTGATTCTCCGTATTGAAAGATAATGTTGCGTTCGTGTTACAGGATTCGCATTCACCTGTCATGCATAGTTCGTTATCAGTAGCACACACACTTTTCTCAACAATTTGAGTCATGTTTGACTCTGCTATAATTTTATTGCGGTAAAGTGCATTTAGCATATATTGTGTATTGGTATGCGTTTTACATTGACATGTATCTCTGCCATCAACTGCTGGAGGTTTTACGTAGAATGGTCTATGCTTGGTGAAGTAAGAGTATGAGCAACACTCGATAGGGTTCTCTTTTTTGAAAGAAATAAAAAGATTCTTCATTGTATCAAGCAGATACCTCTTTTGCGCCTTATTTTTTTTGTAAGTCACGGTTTCTCGTTTCCCAGCGGTTATCCTAGAAACATCATCACGATCAAAAAATTGACGAATCTTTTTTATCAGAGTAGCTTGTTTAGGTATTGTCTGCCTATTTTTTAACTTATTGATACCAAGAGTTTCTTGAACAATGGAGGTTTTCAGCCTGGAATCTTTTATGATATCTTCGTCAAAAATACGCCTGATAGCTAAACGTTCTTTAAGTTTCTTTATTCTGGAGTAATGGTTTTTAATAGCGTTAGACAAAGCTATATATTTTTTGTGTCCATTTTCTGAATTTTTCCCTTTTTGTCTTTGATATCTTTTCTTGTACTTGTTACATTTTCTTTTCAATTTCTCGTTTTCTTCCTCCAATTTCTTATTTTGTCTGTATAATGCAGATCTGTCTCGTCTTACTTTCCTTCTTCCTCTGGAACTTGGAGAAACCGGAGTTCCTGATCGTGGTGTTGAAGCCGGTGTTATATCTAGAATAACTTGCACACTTTTCTGGCGTTCTCGGCGTTTCCTGTTTGCCATCTTCCATTTACGCTTTGCAGATCTATGTTCTCTCTCTGTCATATCCTTCACAAGTTTTTTAGTAGCATGATATCTCTGAAGATGTTTACTTTTAGCCTCAGCAAGTTTCACAGGGTCCTGTTTCAATTTTTCCCTATAACGCCGTTGTTTTTCTGCCGGTGTTAACGCCATTATATTGAAAATAATATACTGCAACAAAATAACCCGATAATTAATTAAGTGAACTATAAAACAGCTAAATAAACTTCGAAAACTGTTTACTTTGCAACTGCGTTACTGTACGTACTACTGCGTTACTTTTCGTGGTAACGCAGTGTAGTGGTAACGCAGTTGTAAAAATAACGTGTCTTCAAACATTTGGGTCGTTATAATAATAAATACTTAATAATTTTTGAGTGCATGCAAATAATTAATCATTCTATTACAAAACGCAATACACAAACAATCAAATATTTTAAAAACTCACCGTTTATCGTCGGTAACTCAGTGGCCGCACAATAAACACACGCGCCCCTCCACACGACTCGAGCTCGACTAACGCGGCCAGCGTCAAGACCACGAACACCCGCCTCACCCCGCTAGCAATCCACATTAAATCAAACGAACTTAGTTGAAAATGCACGAAAAAAGCCGAATTTAAGGTACACTTCGGCTTGGTAACACAGAGTAGTTACGTTTTATTACTTCAACAGGGACAAGACAAAAAATATTTCGTAAATAATACACGGTTAAAGAAAAGATAAACTTATTAGTCTGTTAATAAAGTTCATACTTACCTTAATTTTTGTAGACATTTTAATTTAATAGTCCCGTGAAGAGTTTTAATGTAATGTCAATGTATTTGAAGCGAGTTGCTAGTTGGGACAGCCGGATTTTGTATGAGATACGACTGCGTTACCGAGAAAAGCGACTGAGTTACCGTCATTTACGTCAAAATATAACATATTTCACGAATGTTTTATATTTCTTAGAGGGATATTATTATTACGTTTTTACCAATAGCGATTTTATTTTTGTAATGATAGTTTTTGTAAATGTAACAGGATCTGTTCTTAAGAGACCGATTATGGGCCCTGGAAAAAAATAATGGCCCAAGCACAACATGCATTATATACTTAATGGTTTACAAATCACTATGATCAGGCAAATCCAACCATTGACATGGATTTAACATTCAAAATAACTAAGAAGAACTAGTATCGGAGACAAATTGAATATTAAACTTAAAATTTAAAATTTACGGTACGTACAATAAAGACAATTGATACTTACAATGAGAACATAAATAGTGGGCAAAACAAAAAGTGAACATAAGGACAAAACAAATAAAAATAGTTACATTCGGGCAACATCACCATAAAGAATCAACTTAACCTTTACGCGAAACTTGCCAAGCGAGTCCAAATGCACATCAACAAGGTCACTATAGCTATTCAGCAACCTGCATAGACGAGGGATCGGAGAATTAGCACCAAGTACAGTCCTGCGTAGTGGAGGACACAATGGAGTTTAGGCGCCGTGGATTTTGGAGGGTACACGGATTCTGAGCTTGCTCAAAAGCTGGGACAGTCAATATGATATCGCAAGATTTTGTATAAAAATAATAAATCTAGTGAGTCTCTTCGTTTTGTAGGGATATCATTTTGAAGTGACCCAGCCTCTCATCATATGACGGCTTCTTATTAGCTATACCAGAAGAGTACGCTAAGTGCCACAAAAATCTTTTTTGAACCCGCTCCAGTCTCAATGTGTGGGTGGCATAGTGTGGTCTCCATACAACGCTACAATACTCCAGAGAGCTACGAACCAGACAATTATAGAGAAGTATTTTAGTCTGAATCTGGCGAAAGCAAGTAACATTTCTGATGACAAACCCCAGCATTCCAGATGCTTTTTTAACTGTATTTTCAATGTGAGGATTTTTAGCATTTTATCTTACCTCATCATTTTACCTCATCGGAGACAAAAAGTTTCATGATGCTACAATAATGGTTATGAAAATCCTGGAAATGAGGAGCAAAAAGTATTACGACGTTATGTAGTTCTTTCTACACACAAAAAGAGATTCATTCAATGATAGAATGTCCTAAATATCTGTAAAATATTGAAGCAGGTAGTACAATGGAATTACTTTGAACGAAAGGCATTTGCGTAACGTTTCGAATTGATCAAACGGCTTTTGTTTCTAAGCGGGATAAAAGTGACAAAGTGCTTGAATTCAACGAATGTTTTGCACTGAGATATTAGCAATGTCCTATGGAAATCATGGAAGATTGTTGGCATGTTGTAACTTGAGCATCTTTTAGGTATCTTTATAATCTTTATTTTTGATATTTTAAGTCTCGTATGTAAACTTATAAAAGAATATATTTTAACTCAAAACAATAAAATTTCGTGCTATTTAACAATTTGGAAAGAAACCTTCTCCGTATAAAAAGAGGCTTTGTTCAACAGTACGCGTTTGGAGCCCATAACGAAATAAATCAAAAGATGTCTCTGATAAGATTAGCTTCTTAAAGCCTTAGATCACTTGAAAACATCAGGTTACTTAATCACAATCTTCTTTGATTTAAATATCTTCACCTCATCTCTATCTCTCGATCCTAATTTATTTGGGGTCGGCTCAATATATCTTTTTCCTCCATACGTCTCTATCAGACGTTTTCTCAATGTTCACTTCCTTGCCATATCACCTTTTATACAATTTATCTTTTCTTCTAAATTATGTAGATTTCTACATATTATACACATAACCTCAGTACCTCACGCCTGTCTCCTATGGTGGTAGACAGAGAGTATGGAACCCCAATTGCTACGATTTTCACTAACTTTATCAACAGTCATTGAGTCTTTTCATGCATCATAGGTACTCGTCGGTTAACGGTATGTAGTTTGTAAGTATAGTGAAGTATGTCGCGGAGAACCTAACGGGTAACCGGGGCTCCGGCGCAACGTGCAGGAGAAGGAACGGGGTGGTTTTTAGTCAGTAAGAGTCTGACACTCCCTTCCGCCTCATCCAGGCGGGAGCAGACATTCGATGATTTTCCCCCCTTAAAAAAAAAGTACAGTAAAGTATACAAATACATAACATAACATCACGCCTTTTATCCTCGAAGGGGTAGGCAGAGGGGCACATTATACCACTGTACAATGTAACACCCACTTTTCACTATTTATGTTATGAGTCCCATGTAATAGGGGGTGAGCCTATTGCCATATACCGGGCACAGTTCCAGACTCCGTGCTACTACTGAGACTTTTATATACAAATACATACTTATCATAAATTCATACTTTATCAAAGTTCATTTACTTTTTGCAAAAGGTTCTGTTATCCTTGCTAAGAAAATAAATACGACAGCGTGTTTTTACCTGCGCTTTATTTACTAAATCAATGTCCTTGAAATGTTGCATCACTTACATTGTAGTTGGAAGTCCAGAGAAAGGGATATAGGCTAGTTCTTCCTGGAAAAGCCGCGGTTAAAAGCTAGCATAACAGCTAGTAAAGCGAGCATAGCGAGGATAGCATATAGCTTATTATTTTGAATAGAAGTATACTTTTTTTTCTCTTTTATAAACGTTGGATACACTAGGACTTTCTCCTGTGTCCTGGGTGCGTTTACAATCATACAAGTTCACATACACATGACACTCATAACAATTTGTGGATCACACAAGAGTTGCTCCGTGCGAGAATCGAAACCGCGACACGTTGCGCGGAAGCCAGTTGCCAATCCACCGCACCAAGCTACGGTGCAGTCAATATTATCTTCGTAATAAATAATAAGACCTTGTTCAGTTGCTTTAAATTTTTATTTTTAATGAATGAAACGTTTACGTTGAGTACCAAAAAGGCATGTCAGAAACATTACCGCACTGGGAAATTCACCATACAGTTACGTATTGCTTTAAATTGCAATCGATTGACTTCCAACGATATTTTTGGGTCGTGCAAATTTTGGCGCATACCCGCCATATTTTTCTGTCAGTTTTAACGAACGTTAAAAGTGTTTTTCGAGATTTTGCACGTTCTAATTCTGGTTGTGCTGTTTCGAAATGATTTCTCCTTTTCTCTAATTAATAGTGCAACTGAGATTTTGAACATACTGTTGCAGTTCTGGCGATTATATCGAGAATAAATTGTGAAAATGACACTGTACACAACTCAATAAACTGGTTTAAATAATAATTCCATTCTCTTAATATTTTGGAGTGGGCATAATATTTTAAAATAAATAAAGTTAAAATAGTCATTTTTACCCTTGACGAATTCTCATTTAGAGACAATCGAACATTTCATTAAAAAAAAAACGTTGCCCCACACTTACTAACTGAAAATATATTCGAAATATTTAAAAAAGCTCGGCAATTTCCATTTTTAAAAGAAAAACATATTTGCACAGAATCTTTCTACATTGTTGTTGAATTAATATCGAAAACGCTTATCACACTCATCAGATGATCACAGACGCACTCTTAGTCTTATAAACAAAGTAATAAGGAGACTCCTCAGCGCGGAGCAATTGACAGAATAATTTAGTCATAGGCACGTACACGCACCGTAATTCAAGCCTGCAATTCCAGATGCTCTAGGTTTGTATCAAAACATTCTACAGAAAGGATTCCGTGTCAAAGGTTCCCTTATTATATGAATGGCGTAAAACTAGTCGTAAAGAGTAAATACGCGAAACCAGGAGTAATGGTAAGGTCATTGCGAAAATTTCTCGGGAACGAAGATGTTTCGTGGTAAAGGAATATTTCCAGTAGGTAGCGGTAGGGTGTGGGCGAGGGGAGTGCTGCGGGGTGCACGGAGCGGGGGGACTCCGAGGGTGGATGTTTGGAGTGTTGTTCCCTGTAAACGTCAAGAGCGATCACCGTTGGAATGAAACTGAAGATAGATTTGAGGTAAAACCGGTGTAAAAACCAGAAATAATCGGTAATGACCAGTTTTTGTCGCGTCGTTTCTGACTTTTATGACTCTTTCTATGATTACCGAAATTTTCTATGGTCCTTTACTGGTTGGCGCGTCCTTGAAACTGATTTTACTGCTTGTGTCCCTGAACATTTATCTGAGTGACTTTAATTATGTAACTAGACGGCAATTATGCAGATGAAATCTTTTGAAATGGATCCCTATAATTATGATGTGACGATATTTAGTATTTGCTACA